CCGGCTTGGTACGTATATGTCTTTCCGGTTTGGTATTGAAATTGAGTGGCAAGACATGTTCCGGGAGCAAGAGAACCTTTTTACTCTCAAGACCTGTCTTCCGTTCCATGCCTTGTGTAAGCAATGCTGACTCCGGAATCTGCGCAGCGACTATATGTCGTGAGAATCAAGATGTGAACTGCCTCGGTGTTTGGCCCCAAGTTTTCACTGCGGCTATTACAAAAACTAACATCGAGCATCCCCTCGGTGAGATCGTAACGGGAGAGACGGCCGTGACGGAATGGTATCCCGGACTCGGTTTGCAGTACTCGGCGAGGCTGAACGCGGACAAGGTTCTCAACGGATCTTCAACGGAGGACGAGTGGGACCCGCAGTGGAATTCCACGTGGGCGCTGAAGAATGAGACGTGGATTCAGATGGGATTCGAGGAAGCGAAGAAGTTGGAGGCTGAGAAGACCATGTCCGATGATCATATCGAGGATAATGGAAAAAGGAATTTCTGGCAGCTGTATAATGGCAGATATGCTGGAACGAGGAGCTTCGGTTGAGCATGCAGAGTTTCTACGTACGTTCGCCTTGAATTCAGCAGTTGACTCGCTGTCCTGTGAAGGTTAGATGCGGGCCTGGAGCATCAGGTCCCTAGAGCACGTCTACGGAGTAAGGCCGCTCGCTTCAACGGTTGCGCCAGCAGGATAGAAGCAGATGGAGGGGAGTCGTATTCGACCTACCCACCCACCCACCTACCTTCTACCTCTACAACAGCACTGCGCCCTCAGGTTCGTCGTACGAAAAGACGAGCCAAGTCCTGAGGACCGGGTGCGGAGAATGCGTGGGGGAGGGCGGGTCACTTTGCGGAACTGGGAAGGGATCGAGGCGTGAGCCGAACGTTGCAGAATTTTTCATGTGGAAAGCTAAGCATTTCCATCACCGAGGCCGTTTCTTATTCGTCTGAGCCTGTGCAGTGGCTTTCGTGTCTTACATGTCTGTTTGCCATTGCGAAGTCCTTTGTGCTTGATACGAGGCTGTGAAACGCACCGTATAGTATCTATCCTCAAGAAGACGCTCTGGACATTCCTCCCCCGCCCGCTCCACGCACCTGATCAGAAGCCGTTACAATCCGCAGCACACGAGATGTACCGACCTAACGCCGAAGGAGATACTCAACGATCTCCCACACGCAGCCTAAAACAAAGAAGATCGGGAATCCGCCCGACCCATCGGCCACACGGGCCCCTCCTCCTCCTCCCGCCTCGCTCGCTTTCCGTCCCGCAACGCCCCCGCCGTCACGTTTACCCGGCCCTTTTCCGCTTTCGAGAATCCCGGCCGTGGTTCTCGCGCGCGGCTACGAATGCTCGGAACTCGTCTATGGTCTGGAGGATGGCGGAAGCGGGGGCGGCGGGGTGGGCTTTGATCGAGGGGTTCTGGGTTTGGGTGCTGAGGGTGGCTGGTGGGAGAGCTGTTTCGGGTCGATGGTTGCGCGGCTCCGGTGGCGTTTGGTCTATCGGTAGTGGCGACGTTGGGGTAGGCAAGGTTACCGCTGTCGCTGGAGTTGGTATCTGACACTCCGCCCCTTCTGCCGGGAAACGGTACGAACGATGGGCCGCCTCCTCCGCCGTCAGCCACTGGGGACATTCCTTGCTCGATGCCACATGTTCGCCGTGACAGTTCGCGCACTCGATCGTCGCCGATGTGCAATACCGGGTTGCGTGCCTGTAGCCACACTTGCGGCACGACGGGGTCGACGGGCAGTCTTTGGCGGCGTGGGTGTGTCCTTGGCAGTGGGAACATTGCTCGTGCCATTGCGTGCCGGGCGAGTGGACCGTGCACGCGCGGCTCTTTTTGTGAAATGTCAGGCCCATTTCCAGGGCCGCGTTCGCCGCTTCCCTTGATCCGAAGACGAGTATGTAGTTGATCCTTTTCCCCTTCGAGGCCGGGTCCTGGAGCGTCATGACGTCTCTGATTGCGCCGATGTGGCTGAGTGAGGGTATCTTTTCGGAATTTCCTTCCCGGATTTTGTCCAGGATCGATGCCCTGTCTGTGTATTCTTCGATCTCCATTTTTCGAGCCTGGTTCTTGCCGAATTCGAACACGACCCTGTAGGTCTTGATGCCTGCCGCGATCGTGTCCCGAAGGTCTCTGGCCCATTGGACGTTGGTGGAGAGTATGCCAAGATCTTCTTTGCTGCTCATTCTGAAAGCTAGACGTCCGTCATCCTGTTGATGCACTTCGGTGATCCGAGGAAGCGAGGACGGGCGGTCGGAGATGTTGGGGTCCTGTCGAATTGCATGGTGAACGAGCTGCCATATCTCGCGAGAGGGCATACAGTGAAGGCCATGGACGACGCGCTCGTTGTGGAATCTGATGCTGAATCGATGGTCGCCAGGCGCAATCGGGACGCCTAAGGTGACGGTAAACACTGTGGGATCGGGCGAGACCATTGCCGCAGCCTGGTCTTCATTCTCTTCTTTGATCTCCACTTCACTATCTTCCTCCCTATCTTCCTCACTTTCTTCATCGCTCTCCAAGTCGCTCTGATCTGGGCTGAAGTCTACGCTACCTTGCAATCTGGTTGCTGGCTGTACCACTTGCTTGTTCGTTTCCTTTTGGTCGTCAGAGCTTTCGTCATCCATACTGTCAGCTATCTCGTGGTCTATCGAAAGCCTAGCCGCTTGGGCAGTAATTAAAGCGTCTGCGTCTTTTTTTGCTCCCATGCCGACTGTTGAATCTGCCGGATACCAGTTAAGATGCTGAGAAGCGGATTCCAGGGCCTGGATTTTGGGAACAAGGCATCTGAATGATTGTTCGAGTTTATCGAACAGGTCTTGAGGGACTGTGGAGGAATACAAGTCACATATCATGTTGGAGATCATGTCTTGAAAGGTCTTCTTGTCTTGGTTGGAAGGAAAACTCGCGCAGACTCGCTTCGAGAGAGCTTTCGCGACGACGCTCTCTACGCCCTTTTTCATCTTCTCCTTGATGGCCGAGGGCAACTTGCCATGATGGGTTTTGGGCTTCTCAATGTGAATGTAGACATCGGAGAAATCTTGCGCGAGCTTCGCCGCATGCTGAACAGCGCGCCGAGGATATATGATTTGTGTTGTAGCGGATTGGGTCTTACACCTCTTAGTGGTAGACATGGTTCAGCTAGGCACGTAGGAATGGTAAATAAACGTTTCGTAGAGGGCGGCGCGTTGTTCAAAGATTCTGAGGTTTGGGGGAAGTGAGTTGAATGTGCAAATCCGGAGCAAGTCGACAACGTCTCCTTTTTGCAGACGCGGCTGGCCGTAACACGAAAATTGCTCAGTTCTCTCCGTAGCCATACACAGCAAAGGGGGATCCGATCCTACGAAAGAGACCCTTCTTCTGCTACCATACTTTTCACGAGTAGACTATTTGATCTTTCGAGAGCGTTTCAGAGTCAGAGCTCTATCACCCTACAGAGTCATGCATTGTCATCAAAGTAGAATTTGCCGCTGCACTTGGGCTTTCTACCCTGTCAGCCGCAAATGTCACGACATTTTGGACAGCTTGTCAGTTCACAAAAGGAGCCCGAACCTGCTGTAGGCCAGGTCTGCACTCCCAAAATGATTATGATTCTGTAGAGAATCTTGTTTTTGCATTGAAGCTACGGCGAACAAACACATGTGATGTCAAGTGGGCAAAGCATCACGCCCGTGTAGAAACCATGGCAGACGCTGCCCGGGCATTATTCCAAGGGCGCGGTACCGAAACCTGTACTTGCTCCCAAAGTCCCTATCATCCTCCCTCTACATCCGAGTCAACTGCTCTCCTGCCCTCTTCACCTCATGCCCGCCACTGCCCTCGCTCCTCGGGAGTGGTCGAAGCAAAATGCAATGCCGCGGCCATTGGGCATGTCGAAGCGACTGGCAGCAGTAACTTTGTTCTATCAACCATTACACCGTATCTTTGGCTTCGAAGCGGACATCTGGTCTTTGGAGGCCTTTAAGCTCCCAGAGCCGGTGGGTTGGCAGTCTGCATTCTGGGCAGAGCGGTGGAGACAGCATCAATCTGCCGACACAATGCAAGTTCCGGTACTGACACAGCTCATCCCCGCCGGCTATTCCAGAGCCTGGAGGGTGTATGGACGCTGGTGTAGAGAATGCCAGCCTTTGTAGCGTTGGTATGTCGTCCAGGAGTACTTTAGACTTGGCGGTCGCGGCTCAGCGGTTGTTGGCTTCGCTTCCCCACCATTTTTAAGCTTGTCCAAGCTGCTTTTTCCAACCTCGACAGTGGCCTTCTTGCCGTCGATGAAGTTTCAGATGTTCGATGGAGGGTAGAGCATGTAGAAAAGAGGAGAAAGCTGTTAGACTTTGCTCTGTCAGTCTTGCGGGAGCAGAAACAGGGAATGAGGGGTCTCTTTAGCGGCGTCTGCACTGCTTCAGCTGAGGTCTTTGGCTCCAGTATTGCAGAAGCATTTCCTTGTATTTCTCAAGAGCCGCAGCATTCGCTTGCTATTCTGCATGCCTGTTCTTGGACTGCAATGGAGGATGGCGAGAAGATGAAGACTGTGGGTGTCAATCGGACGCCGTGGCTCATGAAGGCCGAAAGGAGGCAAGGTCGAACACTTGCGATGTCGTTCGTTGGATGGCAACTGCGTACGACGGCTTTCTCAAGTGGCGGAGCCTAAGTGCAAAGAGAAAGAAGGGACTGTCATTCGTAAGTTCTGAGACCAAGACGGGCTGCGGGTAATGTCTTCGCTGTTCATCAAGCCTTCAACTTGAACTGTGGAACTTTGTTTTCTTCCGTACTCGAAGATAGGTTTCTTTTGCTCAGAAAGCCAGAACGGTAGGTTTATGCCGTTCGCTGCTTCGCGGCACTGCTTCCATCCGTAGCGCATGTTCCTCCGTCTTCAACACTATACTTCTTGCTCAAAATCTCAACCCCACAACCATCATCAACAATTTCCCCGCACTCTCCAAACCCTCTACACCCTCCCCTCTTTCATTCACAAGGGTCATAAACCTCCTCTGTGGCCTACCATGACGCACAAAACCCCAGACGGCTACACCATCCTTCTCCCCGACATGGACATCCACGCGCTCGTCAACGCATCGCGAGCAGGATTTGTACAAGAACTCCTGACAAGGAACCCTACTTTGCCCGCAACTCAACTCACTAAACATAACCTCTTGTGCTGCTTTACGGGAAGAATAGCCCGTTTAGGCCAGGGAGGTCCCTTTTCGACAGAGGTCAAAGCGCAGATTCAGATTGTACAGCAGCGAGTAGGTACCAGGTCTTCAGTCGATGACTCCGCTAATATTGTGTGGCAGTGGCTTTCCTCCACAGCCGGAGACGTCCTTCACGAGCTCTTCGATGGCAAGCTACGTAAAATCGGTACATATCTACCCCCCAGCGTGTCCTCCACCGCGAGCGCATCGGTTCCAAAGACACAAAAGAGCAGCAATACTATGGCCTCAATCGTCCCAACAAAGGTCATGGATCCTCGAGCGACGGGCACGAAACCGCCTGCCACTGCTCCCAGCGTGCCAGAGCGCGTTGGCTCCAACCAATGTTTGACACGAGTGAGATCGCGGCCGAAGCATTCTGGCTCAAAAAGCATGGTTAGCTCCCACTCTTCTTGACGAAGGGTTCGCGCTCATCCCGTTGAAGTCACCGTACAACAGAAATGTGGTCGTGCAAATGCCTCACTTCCTAGGCCAGCATTACAGAAAGAAGCTGGTACAGAGCGGGAACTGCCTCCTCATCTCGCTGCCGTCGGAGACGGCACATGCGCTGCCTACAAAGACGACTCACGCACACCTCTGCGATGGCATCGATCAGGCTGAAAGCCTCCGTCGTATTCAGCTAGTGTTGGCTTGCTATCCCTCAATCGTACTGGCGTATGACAGCAAAGCCAACAAGGACCTGGCAGCACGGCAGATCGGGAGCTTGAAATTCCAGTTTGAGGACAACGATCCCATCAAGGTTGACGTACAAGAATTTGGCGACAATCCAGCAAGTGCCAAAGCTACCTATACTCTTGGTCCTGGCTTTCTCTACTATTGTGATCACCGGGAGTCGCTCCAGCGTTTCTTTTGCAAAGAAGGCTTTGTGCCCATCACCGACATCATTAGAACGCGGAGGACTGGCGTCCTGAGAATAGAGTTACTGATACGGTACCGCTTCTCTCCCGGGTTTCTGGAGAAATTGAACGCCCTGCCAGGTGGTCACGGAGACAATAGAATCCCCACAGAACCAGCTGAGTCGTGTAGCCTGTGCGCGCGTGTTGCAGGCCAAGATCGGCGTCATTCCAGCCCGAAAGATGCGCATCTATCAATTGTGACGCCATCTTCCCTACGCCGCGGCAATGACGGTGCGAGCGCGGAGAATTCTGCACGGCCTTGCCTGAGTATACCAGGCCCCGCTCTTGCTGCTGCTCATCCTTCACTGGATGATTTCAAGATCACTAGTTACATAGCAGTTTTCACTTTACTGAATGGGTCTGAGGTTGCTAGGAAGGTTCCACCACGCCGTTTCGTGCGCGGCTTCAACCTATTCCTGGACACCTTCTATCCAGATTCTGATTTCGAAGCCAGACTCGCTGTGCTCCACCGAGTAAGTGTACGACCCTCATCCTACTAAGACCAGAACTGAAAGCTTCATGATAGATCGATGGGGGCGAGCGCGTAGATGACTGGGAACTTCTGTGTAAACATTTGCGGAGATATTTTACCAAGGTCTACATGTCTGATGGCAAAGTCGTGGGTTCGAAGCGTAAGGTCAGTACTGAAAATATATTGTCTGCCTTGGATGCATACTGACGTCCTGCAACAGACTCTAGCTGGTGATAACGGAGCAGCTCGAAAAATGCTCAGGGGTCCGGTCGCTGCCGATTATATGTAGCTACGGTATGATCGTCTGCTTTTTAACGAATATCAAGCAGCAAGAAGTAAATTCAGTTACATAGACTTGGGTGACAGATACGTAGCGTTGTGTCACAGTCGGTAAGATGCGCTCAAATAGCGATAAAGAATGTCCCTCTGGACTATGTGCCTACGAAATTTGTTTAGGCGATGGTGGAGATCTAGGCTCTCTACGAAAATCCATGGCGTCATGATTTCCTGTTTAGAATGTGCATGGTGGCAAGTAAACGAGGAGTACAACAAACCAGGTGGCGTAGTTTTAGAGACCTATGGGAATTCCACACATCTTCATGTTTTTGGAAGACCCAACTGGCAAAAAAAGAGTTCGAGCATCTTGTATAATGGGCGAGTGTCTCTAACCCACGATGTCTACATCTCTTGCCTACGATAGTCGCGCTTCTTGAACCGGGGGATCATTATTCGAGTTCTTTGAGTTTTGAATCTGGTTTTTTTTTTTTTTTTTTTTTTTTTTTTTATTAGAGAATAATTCGAACTCGAACCTCCTTGCCCGGGAGCAACTGACTATTCCAGAATGACTGGACCGGACTTGTCGTTGCCCTCGGTGACGGTCGGGGTTCGCAATGGCGTGTGTGGATGCAGGAGGCGACTGGTAATTTGGAAACCTAAACATCTGAGCTAAAGAAGCTGGTGGCATGGAATGGGATTTGCTAATTCATTTATAAAGGGAGGGAAATTGGGAACGGATTCGGCCAATCGGCCTCCCGTGCCGCGTCAACACTTGTTGCAAGAAGTGCCCGGTAAGTCCTCTGCATCCTTTTTAGCAGCCAAGACGTATCTATGGTTCGGTGTTCTATGGAGTCTTGAGAGAGGGAATTATTTGAGTAATTGTAGCTTACATCCTCGATATCGTGATGTATAAACTAGCGCATGTTGGACTAAGTATTGATATTCTCCTGAAGCTTTTGGGGTCCTGACTCCCACGAGCTTGGTACTGTGCCTCAAGACACTGCTTTAATACGACTCGGTCATATAAAAACAAGTGTCTAGGTCGTAGTACCCGTTGCACTCTTGATAGCCAGCGCTTGCCGGTCCTTCACCCCAGCAACATAGCATTGCCCTATCAAATCAAATGTCACCACCTTGCTCTCAGGACTCGAAATCCGTCGCAATGTCACTGGTACAGAGCACCCATACAATATGGCTATTACATCTGGTTTTCGAGTTTCTGCTGCTGTAAACCTACAGAAATGTGCTCCTCAGTTATTGTAAGCCTCCAAGCCCACACAACCGACTAAAACCAACGAAGACATTCCTGCACAAGCGCCGTACTACCAATCAGCTGTTGGCTGGTGGCTTAGTCCATGGTCTGGCATAGTCTCTTGAAAGCGTTGGCTGAGATATTTCTGTTGCAAGACTTGTGTACAAGCCAGGCAGTAGCGTATCGATGGGAGGTGACCATTAGGGTCTTGGTTCGCGACGACGAGGCGCCCTAACTTCTTTGGAGGAGGAGTGGAAGAGTCTGTGCAAACGAGGAAGTGCCCTTCTGCACCTTGCTCTTCGCCATGCCGTCTACCTCATTCAGACGCTGGTAGTGATCATGGCAGAACAGACGTGGTTTGACATTCTTAAAAATCTAAGATCAAGAAGTATATCATCGGCGTATCAAGATCGAAGCGAGGAAATGTAGCAAAAATGCACCAAGCTATCATCATGTTGATATAGGACAGAAAAAGGGACTATCACGCAGCACATGCTTTACGATGCTCTGCATTCAATGCTCATAAATCACAGTGGGTCGAAGATCCCATTAAGCTCCCGGACCTAATTCTGCGTTTGGTCAAGCTGGTGGGCTCGAGAACTCTCAAATGGTGCGGTCATAGACTCGGATCAAGACCAGATACCCTCGTGAAACATTGCCGTTGTTGCTACATGCATGATGAGTACTTTTAAATCTTAGAATTGACGCACAAGCGGCAATCGGGCATCAGAAATCAAGCAAAGGTAGGATTGCCGATCTGAAACAAAGATACTATTGTCCGTTTTGACCCGCAGCATGTGCTCGAGCGTTCAAGGCTAGAGCCATAAGAGGACAAGCATTGAGCCAGTTGGCGTTGAATGGCGTGGGAATTCTCAGAATACCTTTCTGGCAAAAAGACCGACAAAATCCTCATCGGACAAGAAATACAAGACCGATCTGACTGCGAATGCTCTCCATGAACGAAGATGCGTTCCACTTAGATTCCCTGGAGCCTTTAGACTGCCAAAAAAGATGGCTGATCAGATTTCTCTCTGATGTTTTGGGCTTCATTAACACGGTTTTCAGACCAGGCTAAGAGATAATTCAAGCATTTTGATATCTACCAGGTGCTTCATGCTGGCTCAGTCTTGAAGGAGAGGCTCGTGAGTTGACAAGATCCATGGTGTCAATCAGGCGCCGCCTGTAGCCGACCTACCCGGCTACTCTAGCGGCTTGGCGTTTAGACTTCACAGTAAGGAAGGTACCGTAGACACCGCCCACAAGGCTCATGGATTGAATCCATATCTTTTAACATAACTACTGTCATAATCGTACTGTATCACATGCTACCATCAAGACAACAATTATCATTGATAGTATTGGTTGCCCATAATGGTTACGAAAAACCGCCGTATCCAAAAGTGATCTTTCCGGGCTTCGAGAACACTTCGTATATCCATTGACCCTACTTTCCTTTTGAGAAGGCATAGGAATGGAAGTGCATCAAGAGTTTCGCTACCAAGAACAGAGACGACGGAGGTTCCTCCCCAGAAGGTCAGTGTTGAGATTCCCAGACATCCGATTGGTTCGAACTAACTCCGTTGTTTATTTTTCATTTCATTTCGCTTTTTGTTCATAACTAAAGTAGGATCGCCTTTTCCACTAACCAGCTTCTCTAGCCCAACATTTAGACCTTGCCAATTACCAGCCCACCGCCAATCTCCCTCCCCTGCCTACCTTCCCTTCCCTTCCCTTCCCACCTTCCCATGCCCCCCTGTAGACATTTCTTCCTTTGCCTCGTAGGCGCTTGCTTCCCTATCCCTTCCCATCGAGCCGAAACGATCGTAACGAGCCGCCCCAAAAGATACGAAAAAGTCGCCAATTACGCACCCCGACCGAAACGATGGGCATCGACAACCCGGTCCAGTCATTCTGGAGAGTGTGGGGTGTCAGGCAATCTGCTGTCCCTCGCCCGTAGGCAGAGACGTAGGCATGCTGGGGTTCGAGTCGCTCACCCGTTCAGCATGTTCGAACTCTTTTGCATTTTCCAAGTCCCAGGTTTTGAGTCTATCTACGTTTTGTATTTTTTGCTTTCGTTTTTCCTTTGGAATATGCAGTTGGAAGCTTACTCTTGTCTTTAACTTTAGTGATCAACACATCCAGCGGCATCTCACTTTTATCGTACATCTTCTACATTATCAACCCGAGGCATACGGGCTGTTAGAGTGCACTTTCAGCTATGAAGCGTAACAAGTATCATTGATTGTCCGCTCTACAATCGCTAGTAAATCCACTTGCATCCATCACGACGTTATCTGAACTGCTGATATTCCACCTCTTCTTGCGTCTCATTAGATATCCACCTCCAGTTATCAGGCGCTGCAACTCCTATCGAAGGAACCGTACCCTGAAGCCGGCAATTAGCCTTTCACGGTGCTTGCAACCTTGGTCGTCGTTGGTAGAGTTCTGGAGCATCCGGACTGAATGTTCGCTTGCCGGAACTGTTAGCAAGCGCAGAATCGCGACGATTCAAGTATTTACCTTGCGGCTAGGCGCTTTGACACCCCTGGGCGCATTACTAGCACGAGCGGGGGTTTGGAACGCATCCTTCGAGCGCGCGTGGCGATGAGTATGCGTGTCAGAAATGGGACCCCGGTCATCGTTGGCCACCGTATTCGCAAGAACGATTGGTTGAAAAATGCCGGCAGCATTTGCTGGGAGTTGTGTCTTTGGGATATGCGTGGGAGCTTTTGCGTCATTCCTAACTAGATCTGAAGCAAGTGGCGCTGGAAGCGGTGCCACTGGACGCACTTTATCTTGATTTACTGGAGCGTACTTGGGGGCGTTCCTGTCATTCGGCACAACACCTCTACGAGCGGGCATTTTGGAGGCAGATACCGAGCGTAAGTAATCTGGAAACTTTGGAACTTGCCTGGGAATGTCCCGATCGTTGGGTTCAACGTTCTCACGAACGAGCGGCAGACGAGATCGAGATCCAAGGCAGATAGAGCACTTTTCCACTGATTCTGCGGGAATATTCTGGTCTCCATTGCCAGCTTTGGTCACGGTGCATTTCTGTACCCAATCGAAACCACGATTGTTTCGAATCACGACCTTTCTTTCAGTTATACCGCGGACATGCTTAGTAATGAGGTCTCGATTTGAGATATAACCCTTGTACCAAAAGAAAGCTCTCAAGGATTCGTCGAGCAAAGCCAGAGTTCTCAGTGGCCCAGAGCCCAGCATGAAGGTCGGCTCCTTGGCTATGTCTTCTCGCAAGGTGTATGCATCAAGCTGCAGGCCTTTCTCTTCTAGAAAGTCGAATCTGGATGAGTGCTGGAGCTGCGCAAGTGCCCGTTCCTTAATGGTTACATTGTCGAAGGGTATAACAACAGCTGGGTGGAACGCTGCCAGAAGCTCTAATTTGACCCAAATATGCTTATGTTCGGGCTCAGTCTCGTGGATGTGGAAATGCGTTGCGGTCACGGAAACCGCTTGCTCTTCCAGAGACGCTAAAGACACGATCAATGCCATACCACTAGAAGCCAACCTCGCCCGATGTGGCTCTGGAAGGGGATGCGCTCGCAAGATATCGTGACTTCGATCGGTCGATATCACACCAGGCTGGTACGGATCTTGCCTGGGCTTGCCGTGGATTATCTCTTTTTCGCGTTTTATCACGCCCTGGTATATCTCCTTCTCACTCTTCCTAGCCTTGCCAAACATCCCAGACCAGTGACGCTGTAGCTCATTCGTCAAGGCCGCCGGATTCCTCGTGAGAGTGCGTATGGAAGCTCGGTCTTCAGCTATGATGGCACGTCGTTCGTTTTCATGCTTCAAAAGGGCCGCCAGTCCATCTGAGGTGCCGAACTGGACTTTGTAAGCTGCAAAAACAATCCCCACACCTACTTTATCCCTTACCTGCTTTATGAACTGCTGATCCAGACCTAAATTTGCCCCTGGGAAACGTAGCTTGGCGAATTTTCCCGCTGCTTGAATTATCTGGCTTGTTGACAGTTCTTTGATTCGACCTGGATTAGCCAATAACATAGCCTCGATGAATCGTTGAGGATCGAGACCCCAAGGACTAAATTGCTTCTGGTCCACCATAGGCAACAAGAAGGTTTTCTTGTCGTACTCATAGTAAGCTGGATCGTCGCCCGGTGTGCTGTGGGGAACCACTGCTTGACGGAGGACCGTCTTGTTCTCGAGAGCCGGCCTCATGGAGACCCAATCAGAGTGGTTTCTGAACTGTGGCATACCGTTAGCTGCAGCAACCATCCCATTGATAGTTACTAACGCGTTCCATCATATTTTGGTAGTATTGCAGGTTCACTGGGAGATCCTGTTGAGCTCTATCGCGTACTAGCTCTTCAAAAGCCTGTAGCACCCAGGCAGGGGTTTCCAGCTTCCAGCGCATCCACGCCAGGAAGTTTGACGGCGTCATGTAGGGCATGACGCTGTCATTGAGCAGTGGCGGCGTCATGGCCACGCCATCCTCTGCGTTGGGGATCGTCTTGAGATCCATGCTAAGGTCCATATCGCGTCAAAGTGATGTCAGATAACCCGTTGAGATGAGTAAAAGTTGAGGTGATGGTGTATGAAGAAGTTGTATGGCAGATGGGTGCTGTGTAGGAATCGTTGTTATTGGTGCTTTGCTTACCACGCGCGCGGGCCAAAAAGTGTTGAAACAGATATGGAAGGCGCTAGACTCGAGGAGAAACTCTGACTCCAGATTTCCAGGCGCGCGGTTGATATCAGAGGTTGGCAAAGGGCCGGGGCTGGAAAAGACATCTCAAGCTGTCTTGGGGTTTTCTGTGTTCGTACTGTCGTTATGGCTTTTTCTGCCCCTTCTCCCTCGCTTGCTCTCGATCTGATAAACATGGGCAAGAAGACGGCATAAGCCCTTCCCTAGTCCTTCCCCAGTATGGTTTAGACAAAGGCAATAACGGTTTGCTACGAGCAGAAGAATGTAAGATCCTAATAAGCACAGGGCCTGATATTCTCTAATCGTTTAATGCAGAGGCTCCGAGTAGAACAACGTCGCTCTATGGGCTAATTCTCGATATAAGCCCAATTCCAAACGTCTGCTTGCTGCCAAATGAAGGTCTCTCCCTCTTGCAGACTTACAGCTATCCCAGATGTCCCTCGAGAAAATCCAACGACGTCAAGAAGCCATTATTCGGTGTAGAAACCTTCTCTTCCTCAACATTTTGCTTCCTGCGAGCAACTTTGCCGCTGTCGAAAAGGGATTCGACCACGAGATTCACGGCATTCATCAGACTTTGTCTAGGAAAGAGCCACTCTGTCACAATGGTCTGCTTTGGCCATAGCACAGGCGCAGGTACTGACTGTGAGCTTGGCAGCTGCAGCATTGGTTGACCACTCGTTCGGCTCTCTCTGGCCACCAAGTCGGTGACTGAGAACGGGTAGCGCCACATAGAAAGAGCGGTATTCCAGGTGGTCAACGTTGGTCTATCACAACGTCAGCAGCCTTCATGCATGTAGAAGCCAAAGACATACTGCGGTAAAGAGGCCCCGCCTCTCTTTATGTGTGAAGTGAGGGTAATGGTTATCGACGAACGCCTTGAAGAGGTGAACAGTGTCAAGGCTTGATAAATCGTTGACCCTCTTGCCACCAATCAGCTTTCCCAGCGCTTGCCAAAATAGTGGGACCATCCAATCAGTCAAGAGAGCACTAGCAAAGAACGGCCGCAGGAAATCGTCGAGACAGCCTAAGAAATTCCACTAGGCGAGAGTCTAAGACAAAGCTCGTTTTCGTGGCTGTGCCCTCGCTCAGCCGCGTTACATCAAGCTTGACATTTCGCTCGTCTCTGAAGTGAAATCTTGCTTGTTGTATATGCGAAAGAGCCATATCTCTTACAGTATCGTTGTCGAACGGTATGACAATGGGGCGGTTGTGTGCGCCCAGAACCTCGGGTTTGGTGGACCTCGGACCATTGGCTGGGCCCTGTCCGAGCCGGTGGACGTGCATTTGTGTCAGGGACTCTGCTTGTTCCTCGGTCGATACCCGCGACACAATGAGTGCCCTGTCAGAGGAAGGTAGTCTCCTCTCAGAACCTTCAGTCAGATACTGCGCTCGCAAGATGGAAGTTACCCTCGTCGCGAATAGGGCCGAGTAGGCTGGAGTTGTGATTGGGTATGTCATGCGTGGTACTGGATCTTTACTATACAGCGTTCGACCCAGCGGCAGCACGCGTCCCGAACGCTTCAACACTTTGCTCCTTTCCAAACTCTTGGCAAGCCTTCAGCATCAACAACTACAACTCCTCTTCCGCACCATTCACCCCATACTAGCAAAACCCTCTCTCTACAGATACGCAGTTTTTTGGCGCACTCCGGAGGTTCTTCCGGCATTGTCCTGCTCGAGAATGCCTCTCCAAACGCGCGATGGGACCGATCTCATATGCCCTGCGCTCAGCGATGCCGCCCTCCTGAACATGCCGCCTTCCATATTCGGTGGCCGGTACGGGCAAACAACCCGGGCCTACCCGGCGTCCAGATAACCAGTACAAAAGTGAACGACGTCTATATCCGGGTGGTGACTTTGAGGACATGGCAACACCCTTCGGCGACCCTCAAAGTCCAGTACAGAGAGGCGCTCCAGCGAGTAGGTGCCCGAGCAACAAAATTTCGACCACTTTTCTGACAATGAGTTAGGTGGGAAGAGCACCCCGATTGGAAAGTCCTCACGCGATTTCTCGACGACGAACCATACCAAGCCCAGGCCAATGTGCCCCATAGCCACTCGAATACGGCCATCTTGTGTTTAAATTTCAGAACCACGAGTCCTGTTTGCCGCTGGTAACTCCAGAGCAGTTCACGAGTGATGGACTGGTTATATATATATATCACGCTTCATCTCTGATGTGGTGGCGTGCAATCCTAACAAGAGGGCACGCCTTTCGCCAGATGCAATAAAAGCGGCAGTAGTCAAGTTCGCGATTCAGCGATTTCCTGGAGCAGTGGGGCTTCAGCAGCAGTTGCCGTAGCAGGTAAGACTGGCAATGGGGTGCTACATGATTATCAGTAAGCTGACAGGGTTTAGTTCGATTGTCGCGACGGCGCAATGGCTCTGGAACGGTACGGTACGTCAAGGCTTCGTGCCGCAAGGCAAGACTACGAGTCTGCAGTTGCCCGTCGTCGATGGTATAGGGAGGTTGGGAAGGGGCTTCCACCAGGGATTACGAATTGGGAACACTACCACTTAGAGGACCCACCCGACCTCAACACTGCCCACCTCCAGATGCATAACTTGACGGAGCTTCACGTAACAAAACTCTTGCACGGCGGTACGGCTCTTCAGGTATCTCTGCCTTCACGAGTAGAGAAGGCAGCTTCTGTGGAGCGAACGCACATCCATATTGGGGACTCTGATCCACATGTTCCCGGACTCGTGAGGATAGAGCTTGAAACAGCTTATGATCCCTCCTTGGTTGCAGTATTCGCCAAGGTTGACTTGAGGGATGAAGCCCAGGTATCTCTTCGAGTATTCAGATTTGACTTTGGGGATGACAAGGTGGAACAACTTGCAATTGACACCCTGGATTGGAATGGCTCCAATGAGACAGTCTACCAACTGGGCTCTGGTCCACTGCAGTCCGCTGCCAACCTCCAAGACTCGGTATGACCCTTCTTCGCGAACAACGGCTATATCCCAAAGACCGACGTCGTTGTTGAGACAGTCAATGAACTTATCACGCGAAAGGTTGTTGTCCGTTGCAATGCCTCATCTGCGTGGCTACGGAAAATGACAGCGGTGAACGGCGGCCACGAAGACCGGGTGTCTCCAGCGTATCCGGTGGGGTGGTGTACCTTGTGTCAACCCGTCGCGACGCCGAATCAGAGGCCAGCAAACCCCGTAAAGCCGACTCAGACTCCTCCACATGTTAATATGAGGACTGTACTTGGGAACATTATCGATCGAAAGGTAAGGTTCTAGATCTTCTTGCCCCTACATACGTTGACCATGAGGGCAGCGCCGCTATGATTCTGATGATTCTTTAGGCTCCGGCCAGATCAACCACATCAACAACGCTGATGAATTGGTGAGGCAGGAGGGGCAGAACTGTGTTTGAGCCAAGGTTGATGATCACGGGCTGTCGACGGTGTTGCAAGACACGATGCGGGTGTCTTGATAAATGTTGTCACAGCCTGAATGAGAGGATAGTGAGCTGGAGTTTCGTAGGATAGACGCAAAGAAGGAGCAGTGATGAGTACGATTGACGACACCTGTAAACTATTGTGGGTCCGCGTGCACACAAAGCCTGCATAGAAACAAAACAGTTCACGTTAGTGATCTTGAACATCGTAAATGATAAAAGAGTTCGGACATCTTGTCAGGGTCTTTATTTGGGTTTCTTCCCTTCTGGCTTTTTCTGATTTCTTCCCCTTTTTTTCTTTCCTTTTCCCTCTCGATCTTTTTCTACCCTCGGAAACAAATGTCCTACATCTCTGCCTACGGGAAGGGGGCAGATCACGAGCTAGCCTCCCCACTCTCATCTAGAATGACTAGACCGGACTTGTTGATGCCCGTCGACTTCGGGGTCCGTTATGGTGAGTTTTGTCGTAACATGCGGTTTGGCAGGGTGTGGGAAACTTTTTGGAGAAGGGATCTACGAGGGAAAGGGAAAGGGAAAGAAAAGGTTGACTGGCTGGCTGGCTGGTAATTTCCAAAGTCTAAATGTTGGGCTAGAGAAGCTGGTTAGTGAAAAGCTCCATCCTACACCACTTATATATCAAAATAAACAAACAACTGAGGAGTTCGAGCCAATCGGACCTTTGGAAATATCAACACTAACCTCAACGCCGAATTCTGCTACCTTATTTTCTGTGAATGAATGCCCGAAGTATCCACTTCTCTTGCCCCTCGAACAGACGAGTAGGTAGGTCTGATAGATATGTTGCGGCGTCCTCACAGGGCCCATAGGATCGACACTAGCGCCTTCTAAGCGAGGCAGTTCATACGAACATCGAAGCACTGGCGAGAGTATTTCGAAGCATTGCCGTACATGGATCCTCGGACAAAAATGCCTTTACAGATGAAAATCCAATGAGACGGTCGATATTTGAGCTTCGAGTCCTCGAACCGCGAAAAAAGATTAAGTAGGCAGCTGGATCAGGTTTCTGTATTGACATTTTTTGTTTTCAGTAAGCGCAAACAATTAGACCACGCGCGTGTCAACCAATGTGATTTCATTCGTTCGTTCATCATTTCCAGTAGAGAAAAGGTTGGTCTTATAATGATATATATCACTGGTGTTTGAGGGCTCTGCTTACGTGGAGGCCGAAGAGGGTTTCCCAGTTATGTTTGCGGCGCCGACATGGCGGAGTAATCGAGCTCAAGATTGACGGTCGCATAGTCAGGGTCACAAAATACGTAGATTGTGGTTCTTCGTCACAATTTGTTGATGCTTTGTGAGGAACGATGACCCCGACCTGATGAGGCCAAACCAAGAAGATACGGGCGGAAAGGTTTCCTCAATCACTGCATGTCTTCGAATTTAGCCCAGCAGAGTCTAGATCTCTCATACGGCAACGAAAGATTGTGAATACCTTCTGCCACTGTAGCTAGATGCTTTAGAATATCTGCACCATCATCTCATATCTGAATCATGTCACATCAAGCTACTCCTTCCCCCAACTTCTGTAGGTCCCTGCCCATTTGGCATCTCGCCATTCCTGCCAACGACAAACTCCCTATAGATGCGCTCCAACCTCCTCCTCTCATCTGCACCGACCGAGCTCCTCGTTGTAGCAAGCGAAGCTTCAATATGTTTCCACTCAATCACGACCTCTTGCTTCGACCCCGCCTGTGTACCATCCCTGTTGGCGTTGTCCTTGGAAGATGGCTCAGTGATCCCACGTCGTGCATGTCGATCCTTTCGCTTGGCAAGCTTGATTGCATCCAGCTTTGCAACGATTGCTGCGTACTCTGTTGCCTGCTTTGCGCGACTCATGGCGGGAACTGCGCCGTTTACGGTGTCCTCCTTGCCAAAGCGAAATTGTAGAATATCTTGTTTCGAGGCGCTGCTGTAGTTCTTATTGTTTCTACGACTCTTGGAATTGATGTCACCGTTGATACTATGGTCACCTAGTACATCGTGGATTGCTTCGAGATGTGCGTTGTAGATGACAGCCTGCAGATCAGCGCCTGAGTAGCCTGCTGTTCGATGGGCAACCTCCGAGAGACTCTTGTGCTGATATGCCGCATCCAGGATGTCTTGGCTGATGGACAGCTTCTTACTTAGCGCTCGAAGAATGTCCAGTCGGTCATCCAAGCTGGGCATGTCACAGAGCAGCGACTTATCAAGGCGACCTGGTCTTAGTAGAGCAGGATCAATCAGGTCAGGTCGAGAAGTCGCAGCTAGCACGTAGACCCCAGAGAGACCCTCTGCACCATCCATCTGCGTCAGAAGTTGGTTCACCACACGATCCGTGACGCCTGTAGAATCATGGCCTCGCTTCGGTGCGATGCTGTCAAACTCGTCGAAAAAAAGCACACATGGTCTCGCTGATTCAGCTCTGTCAAAGAGATCACGAACACTTTTCTCGCTAGCACCGATGTATTTGTTCAAGATCTCTGGACCTTTCACGCTGATGAAGTTCAGGCCACACTCGCCAGCTACCGCGCTTGCAAGCAATGTCTTGCCGCAACCTGGGTAGCCGTAAAGTAGGAGACCAGAGCGTAGGCGGAGAGGGCACTGTGCGAAGATCGGAGCGTAAGTGGTGGGGTACTGCAATGTTTCGAGGAGGATCTTGCGAGTTTCTAGCAGCCCTCCGATGGAGTCAAACGTAGTCTTGGATGACTGCAGGGTTACGTTCCTGAGAGATGCGGGAGTGAAGCCTTTCAAAGCATTCTCGAAGTCCACTTTCTCGAGGACGATGTTCGACTCTTCAGCGGGATCTGAGGCTGTGCCAACGGATCTGATCAAAGCTTCACTCTTTGCTCGAGAGACAAGTAGCACTAAGTCCCCCGGCATGTAGCCATCAGTCTGCCCTGCTAAATCAAGGAAGTCTAGGCTGCGATCGACTTGGAATTTTCCGGATCCATCTGCAGGCTCCGAGCGAGGGGACTCACCCATCCAAGCGGCCTCAATATCTTGGCTACTGCCGCGTGAGTGGCCATTCACCCCATTGGCTGATGACCTTCCATCGCGAGATTGACCGGTGAGAGCTTGCAGCATCTGCCGCCGACCGTCTTTGTCTGGCACCTTCAGCGCTACTATTTCCCTCATGACGTTGCCTCCAATAATAACGTTGTTCAGCGCTTCTTTCGCTTGCGACGTTGCCAAGATCACCACATGCGAGTCGAGGCTGCAGTACTGGCGCACGAGAGAGCACACTATCTCACTGATCTGTCGGCTGCGGCCATTGTCACTTGTCTGAAGCTCTGTCTCGGCGGGACAGAGTTTGTCAAGGTCGTCTAAAATGACAAGCGCGCGGCCTCCTGATCTAGCACCCCAAGATGCGGTCATGAACAGTCGACTCAGACTATCTTTGATTGTAGAGACTCGGGTCTCGTCGGTCGTCAGCTTGCGACAGGGGAAGTAGCTTGTGTGAAATAGATCGAACGTGCGCAGTCGATGGCCAAGTAAGCGTGCCAGAGATGATTTGCCAGAGCCGAGGCCACCAGTCAATAGAACAGACGAACAGTGCGACAGGTTGGCGGTGAGCTGGTTGATAAGGTTGTCAATGCCGATTATGGAGGGGAACTCAATTGGAATTAGGTCAGCGTTGATAGCGGTTGATTTTGAGGTACTAAAGGGATTTGGTATTCCCTGTTGCACTTGGATGGCACCCTTGATCTCTGAGCCTATGCACCACTTCACAGAAGCCTTAGCAGACTCCCTGCCGTCGTGCGAAGGTACCTCCAGCCGGACAAGTCCTCCTTCCCAATCCTGGCTTTCAATGTCTTGTGGGATTCTGGGCAGAACGAGGCCGTTCGTGAGGGGCCCATCTAGCATGCCTGCCTCATCCTGTTCCACGCTTGCATAATAAGCCCGAATTTTCTCAGCTGCTGCTTCGCGGCCTGCTTTGGATTGCCCGCCAAACTTGATGCCATCGACTTCTCCGAACTTCCCGATAATAGGGAAGATTTTTAGATTCTCAATTCCACTTCTTGGTACTGGAGGTGGCGCGGCTTCAATACGCACAAGGCCTCCAACAATGCCCTCACTGTTCAGAGCAGAGCAAAGGGCCGAAGAAAGAGCAACATGACGAGAATCAGGAGCATCGTCCCAGGCGAATAGCTTTGCAACAATCTTCGACGCAGGCTTCCCAGACTCGCTGGCTTCCATGTCTTTACTTCTCTGTTGCTGCTGCGGATCAAGTGAAAGTTCGATCCCACCAGGTTTCACGACAGACACACACACGTATTCAAGACTTTTGAGAGCTTTGTTTGCTAGCAACTCTCGGTCTACCCATAGCCCGAGGTTTCTATCATGAGTCTTGCCTTCATCGTGTTCGTCGAACAAATGAGCACACCGGCTTCTATCCACACCACGGAGGAAGACTGCGCTCGGGCCCGCACTTCCTCGATGACTGCGTTGCCTTGATCCCCCCATTCCACTTCTTCCGCCAGCACTTCGGCGCCCAGTGCTAGCAATACTCTGACTCGTGGTACGGTCATTATGCGATAGGCGAGGTCGTGTCTTAGGAGCCACAATGACCTCACCGTCCGGCGAGATCTTCGCAAATGGAGTCGAAGAAGGTTGTGGCGGAGTAAGAGAGCTAATGATGACATTTGCCGTGGAGGTTGGCGACAGGTGGATAGTCAAAGGATGAACTTGCTGAGCCTGGGCGGAAGGCGACGCAGCGAAAGAGGGGTTGGGTAAGGCTCGAACTTGGAATAATAGATTGGATTCGAGAAAACTCGCATGGAGCTCAATAACTGCGGCAGCCGTTAGCTTGCGTTCCCAGATATGAGCGCGGGACACACTT